CCCTCAAAAAGAAGCAGACACATACAAACACGCACGCACGCATGTACACACACACACACCTCTCTCTCTCTCTCTCTCTCTCTCTCTCTCTCTCTGTCGCTCTCCCCCTCTCTCTGTCTCTCTCTCTCTCGCTCTCCCTCTCTCTCTCTCTCTCTCTCTCTCTCTCTCTCTCTCTCTCTCTCTCTCTCTCTCTCTCTCTCTCTCTCTCTCTCTCTCTCTCTCCTCTCTCTCTCTCTCTCTCTCTCTCTCTCTCTCTCTCTGTCGCTCTCCCCCTCTCTCTCCCTCTCTCTCTCTCTCTCTCTCTCTCTCTCTCTCTCTCTCCCTCTCTCTCTCTCTCTCTCTCTCTCTCTCTCTCTCTCTCTCTCTCTCTCTCTCTCTCTCTCTCTCTCTCTCTCTCTCTCCTCTCTCTCTCTCTCTCTATAGGAAGGCCAGGTTGCCCCTGGATCCAAGTGTAACCTTGCGGATTTGTGGGGAGTTCCCTCAAAAGTCAGGGTCCCTCCAAAACGGGTCACCCATTTTAAGTCAACCTCCCAATCCCCCGCGCAGTTCCCAGGAGGCGGGGCTCCCGGAGCACGCTCGCTTCCGCGCCGTCCCGGCGGCCTTCGACGAGAGCTTCGTGGCGCCCCGGCCGTGTTTGGCTTTGACGCGGTCTCCGAATGGGCTTAATTAATTCGAGGGTAGCTTTGAGGATACGATCTTCATGGACCCTGGCATGCAACCAGGGCGGTTTTGCACATCGATTTGACCATGTTGGAGCTTTTTTTGGGGGCTGGCTTTTCATGATTCAGCCACAGCCACTCAATTGACCATCCCATAGTTTATTGCAGGGAGTTATCTATTCATGCTTTGATACAGGCGCATTGGGGCCTCTTGGCTTTGACTTTGTGCGCAAGGGACAGCCATACAGACCAAAGAAATAGTTTGATGCTGGGAATGCGTGGCGTCAGGCCCACTTGAAAGCGGCGTGTGTGCGTGTGAATGACCCGTCGGGCGCCTCACTTCAAGCAATCAATTTCGGGCTTTTCAGTTGGCATATTTGGCAAGTGGTCGTGACCTTTGGTTGCACCCGCTTCATCCTCAACGGGCGAGTCTGCCCTGTAGCTTTCAGCACCCTACCCCCAAAAGCCCCCGAGGATCTCCCTAGAAGGGGCTGCCACGTCTTTCGGTGGTACGAGATCGTGAGTCTTGGCAAGGCAGAACACCGGGAGCTGGTGGAGGCATGTAGCGCCCTGGTGTCCTTGTACGGGGATGAGGCCACCACACCTTGCCTGCACTACGAGCCTTGGTTGCGGACGTCTGAAGCCGTTGGAGGGGGTCGGGTATTCCATGTTAGCCTTCGGGAGTGTAGAAGCCGCCAACATCCGCCAACTGGCAAGTGGGCCGTTGTTGGAGGGAGTGGGTTTTTGTTCACCGGGGGAAGGGCCGCCTAACATGTTTTTTGGGATCCCGATAGTCGGTCACAGTCAGTTTTCTGACCTTGCAGAAACCATTCTTTTCGCAATCGCGCACTTTGCAAATCGGAGTGGGTAAGGTGACCTTCAAAGCTTCCCTTTGAACCGACCTTGAACCTCTGTTCGTCAACCAGGTTATGAACTCTGAGTTCTCGTTGCCTCTTGGGAGTGACATTGCAGATGGTCAAAAAATCAGGCCAGCAAGTTCGTCTGGAGGTTTTTTGCTTTTATACTTTGACTGGCAGTGGGGGAATCCCCCAAAACGTCCCGTCAGCCCTCAAGGGGAATTGGGGTTTCGGCCCCTTTTCGGCGTGGTGTTCCTTGACAACAATCGGCCTTCGTGCCTGCTTTCCGGTCAGCAGCTCCTTCCTTCTTCCAAGGCTGCCTCCCGCCAAGTACCCTGCGCAGTGGTGCCATGCAACGAATGCGCCGGCGAGCTCAGCACGCTCAGCTCTTGCATGTTTTGTCCACTCTCATGTCTTGACACTTGTCTGAGCCATAGACACAGACGCTTCTACAAAAAGGCATGCATACATACAGATCTGTCATAATGGCATGCACGCATCACGTTACGTTGCATTGCACTGCAGTACGCTGCATTGCGTTGTGTTGCGCTGCATTGCACTGCGCTTCACTAGTTGCGTGACTGCATTAGGTTGCATTCGGCTGCATGCATAGAGATATGCAGATATACAGGCATATGCACACAAGCCCACAACTAAAACCTCTTGTTCCGCTTTGGAGGGGCATGTTGGCCCATAGGGAGGTAAGGTGAGATGAATCCCGAGGTGCGCTTCTTCCCACCGCACCACCGACATTACGAGGCATACGTGCAGGCGAGTCACATGCTTGGAGCTTCATGACTTGGATGGAAGGCTTCCGGTGCTTCCAATTTTGAGCACAGGTTTTGGGGCGTTGATGGGGTTCTCCTTCGGGATGTTGAGAACCCCCAGAAATGACATTTTTGGGGTTTGCTCCATTGGCATAGGAATGTTGAGAACCTTCTCGGGGTGGTTTGCACATCGCATTTTGTCGGCTGAAAGAAAATGAGTTTGACGAAGCTGGGAACTCTAGAGAAGCACTGATTGGACCCGTTTTTTTTTTTTTTTTAAATCGAATTGGCGTGTGCCGGTTCAACATTGCATGGGGTGGGGTCTTCGGACTTGAATAGCAGCGTTGCGCTGCGCGGGCCCATGTCATGTTCCAGGGAAAAGGCCAGTGATTTGGGACTTGTCGTGCAGTAGGTTGTTCCAATTCGCACAGTTTGGGTCAGGTCAAGGTGGGGCTGGGTTTATGGTTTAGGGCGAGTTTTGCTGGTTAGGGTGGATTCGGGATAAGGCAGCTTCAACTGACAACGTTGCAACCCACTTTTCGCCCCCCTTTTCAGGCCCTTCAAAACCGCCCTGCCTTTTTCGCCTTTTTGAGAGCGAGGCGCTGCTTGCAGATGCCAATGCGAGAGGGGGCAGGCGAGGGTTTTCCCGGAGCCTACCATCCCGTCCCAAAGCAGCCGAGTTGTGACCGGGCGTCCCGGGACATGGGCTGACACCATTTGGGGGAGGTGCGTCGTTTCTTCCCAATGGCAGCAACAAGAAGCCACCTGATTTGGACGAGTTGAGCTAGCTGTGTGAAGCAAAGAGTTGTAGCTGCGAATCAGCGGCGCATATCAGATTTCTGGAGTCTCATGTTTCAGCTGGGCACATCGCCCCCAAAGAAGAATCTTTGCGCTGTGGCGTTTACAACTGGGGACTCCAGCCGCGGGGTTAAGCACCGCTGGACAGGTTCCAACGTGGCTTCCTTCAGCGCTCGCCCTTCTCAAAAGTGGTGCTGGCGCAGCTGCCAGGGACAGAGGAAGGGCGCCAGATGCAGCAGCAGCTGCAAGTGCTGCAGCAACAGCAAGAACTGCAGCAGCTGCAGTGGCAGCTGCAACAACAACAGCAGCAGCAACAACAGCAGCATCAGCAAAAGCAACAGCAGCAGCAGCAGATGCAGCAGCAGATGCAGATGCAGCAGCAACAGCAACAGCAGCAGAAGATGCAACCGCAGCATCAGCCACAGCAACGGCAACAGCGACAGCAACAGCAGCCGCATCATCAGCATCACCAGCAGCACCAGGTGCATCAAGAGACCCACGACAGCTGTGTGGCGCTTCAAGACAGTGAGCCGAGCACTGAGGTGGCCCACCTGTGACTCAAAGTTGCCGATGGAAAATGAGCCTCCGGTGCGCAGAAAGCCCCTGCTAGTTGACCCAAAAGCGGAGGGAATGCATATCAACCCTTGAACCGGCAGTCTGGTTGTCATCACAGAAGTTCTCAGAAGCTCTCATGAACAGCAGCAAGTCTACTGCTCCAAATTACCAGGCTCACCTTTCAGATCCACGGCCTGAATGCGAGATGGAGAATTTGGCGCTGCTTTCATCTTTTGTAGTTTTGTGGTTGTTTTGTCTTGTGTATGTTGTTTTTGCCCACATCCTTGTGTAAAACTGACAGCCCGCTGCCCTTGAAGCAACCGCATGAAGGCCTGACAGGTCTTGTACGCGTCAAGTTTCCATTGGACGATGTACAACTTAGTTGTTCCATGTGTTGTAGAAGGACAAACATCTACGGCAACTGTATGCTAATTGTACGCATATGTGCCAAATTGCTTTGTGCAGACTAGAGTGGATCGTTTCATGCACTGGTGCGATCCACTTGCCGCTAGGTTTTGCTCGGGCGCGCAGCAGGGACGCACGAGGTGTACGGCGCATTGGCGCACCGCATGCAGCAACTTGAGCGGGGGCCAGCCAGCCTGACCGCACTCAGAAACGGCCGTTCAGGCCTGATTCACGTTGCTACGGGCACAACTGAACAACTGATATGTTGCGTTGCTTGTGTCTCGTTTGGTTTATGGGGTAATTAAAAGTTGCATTTGATACATTGAGCCGATTATTTATGTTTTGTGGTTTTCCCCTTGTGACGGAGATCTCATCTACCAATTTCGGGCTTTTTGTTGGTAGTCCTTTTTCTTTGGCCATTTAGTGTTGATACTTAGTCACAGCTCAGCATTTGGGTGCGCAAGCGCCTGCGCTTCTCGTAGCCTGCCTGCGCATGGTGTGGCGATGCTGGAGCCGAGCGCGATCCACAGCTATGAGCCCCCAGCCTACCGCAGCAATCCACCTTCCCCATCGGAGGACGGAATGTCTGTTGCGTTGTCGTGGGTTGCGTCTCATTGGTTGGTGGCTTGGAAGTGAAGTCAACATACACCCCACGACTTGGGGGTTACGTGAACCTGTCTCAAGTTGGCATGAGCGGAAAGATCGACAGCGAGTGTAAAATGCAAGGCTCAGCATGATTCATGTGGGTGAAGTTGCGGCAGGGGGTTAAATCATGACACGCATTGTTGTTTTTATGGCCATGGCTCAATTTGCCTTTCACGTACTCACCCATTCTCAGTAGTGAGGCCCTTGAAATACATGACAAAAGTGGCAGCTAGAAGGCTGTTTCGACTTGCTATTCATGGTTGGTGTGTTTATGCTGCATTCCCGATGTGAGGCTTGCGGGCAAAGACGCCAGCCATCGACTGGCTAGACCGGTTTCTTCTGACTAAGTCAAACCTCAGTGACAACTCCAGACTTTGTATCAAGGTTTTGGACCAAGCATGGGTGTGTGTCTTGTTTGGTGAAACGAAGCACCCATTTTCGAGGCTTTCTAGTATTGAAAGTCCACACCTCAGTTTTTGTCTGGCTTGTCTTTTTCCATTTTGCATACGATTCTAACCCCCGCCCCCAGTTCCAACAGCAAGGCCCGAACACCAGCAGATAAACATGTAGCCCACAACCTCCCTAGTTCGTAGAGGGCGACCATTTGGGAACCATCACCAACTTGTGCGAAGCGGATGTTGTCCATCCACAGTATGACATTCGTCACAGCCAAGGCATCGGTTCACCTTGGTTTCAAGAAGAAGCCAAGGGAAACCTCCCCCTATTTTGACACCTATGAACCTACCCTCATTTTCAGGGGATGACATTCGTCTGAGGGCCTGCCCCCGAGCTTGCCCTTCCACTGCGCTGTGTTGGAGTCTGCGGACGCCTGCGGCGGCCCCTCACCGGCGCTGCTGCACTCCCTCCGAGAGCAGGGCTGCAAGCTGATTCTGGCGCAGGCTTCTTGCTTTTCCGTTGCTTTTGGCCGGTTGGGCTGGGTTGTTGGTTTGGCTGGCTGGGTTGATTGGTTGGCTGGTTGGTTGGTTGGTTGGCTTGCTGGGTTGGTTGATCGGTTGGTTGAGTGTTTGATTGCTTAGTCGGTTGGCTTCTTGGTTGGTTGCCGGGCTGGGTTGGCTGGCTGGTTGTTTGGTGGGTCGGTCGGTCGGTGGTCCGCTGTGATTGGTCGGTCGGTCGGTCGGCTGGGTGGGTAGGTGGGTGGGTGAGTGGGTGAGTGGGTTGCTTGCTTGCTTGTTTGATTGGTTGGTTGGGGTTGGGTTGGGTTGGCTTGGCTTGGCTTGGCTTGGCTTGGCTTGGCTTGGGTTGGTCGGTTGGTTGGTCGGTTGGGTGCGTTGGTGGGTTAGTTGGTTGGTTGGTCGGGCTTGCTGTTTGGCTGGTTGGTTGGTTGGTTGGTTGGTTGGCTGGCTGGCTGGCTGGCTGGCTGAGTTGGTCGATTGGTTGGTTGGGTTTGAGTTGAGTTGAGTTGAGTTGAGTTGGGTTGGGTTGGGTTGGGTTGGGTTGGGTTGGGTTGGTTGGTTGGTTGGTTGGTTGGTTGGTTGGTTGGTTGGTTGGTTGGTTGGTTGGTTGGTTGGTTGAGTAGTTGGTTGATGGATTGGTTAGCTGGCAGGGTGGTTGGTTGATGGATTGGTTAGCTGGCAGGGTGGTTGGTTGATGGATTGGTTGGCTGGCTGGGTGGCTGGGTTGGTTGATGGGTTGGTTGGCTGCCTCGCTGGGTTGCCACGGGGGTGCGGCAACCTCTTTGTCATTCCCATGACGCCCATAGCCACTGGAAGCTCTTCATTGTACGTGCTATAGACCATCGTGTTTAATTATGCTCGCAGACCCTCGCTTTGCCACAGGAAGCCACGGCTGAGTGTCAAAAAGAGCCGTCAGGTGGAGGAGAACGATGACGGGGAGGAAGAAGAGGTCTTGGAGGACGGGGCAACTGTGAAATTTGGCAGTGCCAAGCCTTGCGCACAGTCAGTTTTTGATGGACATGTTGTGGCGTCCCACCTTTGGGTTTCATGGGGTTGGCGGGTGGTTGACGTTTGTTTGGAGCAGTCTTATGGAAACGCACACGTCAAATAGTCGTTGGGTGAGGGCGTTGACGCAGGGCGAGCATGATGTTTAAAGTAGATGGCCAAAATCCCTTTTTAGTGGGTCGGGGAGATGAGTATGACGTGACATGAGGGATGTCTGTCACCTACTTTCACGCGGCACGTTTGCTTGGCTTCCATGGGAAATTGGATGCGAAGGTGGACCGGAGCCCCACGGAGTGGAGCAATCCCAACGACTACAGCCCCTACAGCCCCCTGAAGCGCCAGAGCACGCCCCGGGCCTACCGCCCCAAGGCGTGTCCCGCTCGCCGCTTTTTCTATTGCCGGGGGAGTCCAAGGCTTGGGGGCAGGAAGGAACATAGGTGGAGCGGTTGAAGGGCAAGTGAAGAAGACTTTGAAGCTGCCTTGCTGCAGATGAAAATGCGGCATGCTTGGGTCACTAGGAGGAATCACTTGCATGCATTGCTTTAGGCTCCCTGTTAACTCCGAAAAGGGCTCTCTCAAAAACAAACGGCCAGCTCAAAGTTCACGCAGGTCGGACACAGCGAGGCGAGGGCTTTGTTTCAGCAGAGTCCCGATGTTACCTGCACAGCCCACAGGTTAGTTGCCTTGATCCAGAAAACCGGTGCGGTGGAACATGAGACCAGCGCAGCGGCACACCCCAGGCCAAGTTCAGAGTGCAAGCGAGGACTAGGCTCTATCCAAAGTAAGTGCCCTACACCAAGCTGTGTCCGACGGCCACACAGGTCCCCCTTGTGGTTTTTCCCCCACGAATCTCTGCGCGAGTTGAACTTCATGCGCATCCGGGTATTGGCTCTTTGGCGCTTAAGCGCTGCTTAGCTTTTCAATCTCGGGCTCAGTCACGCGAATCCAGCCGCCAATGCGGGATAAGGGTCCGTGAGAATTGACTCTTTATCGGGGCTCAGCGTTTCTTAAGTCTCAGTAAGGCGCGGGCAGAACTCGAACATCCAGATCCCTAGGCCCCTTTTTGAAGACCCTGTTTGGGGCCTGTTCAAACACATCTTGTCCAAAATTCGCCGGGGCTTAAACCAACCCCTGGCGCCCTTGAAAGGGGAATTCCTCGAGGCGCTGAACAGGGAGTGGTTTGACGCGGTCTTTGACAAGGCAGGGCTCGTCCCCCCCCCCCCCCCCTCAGCCTCGCCAAATGGGTGTGGCTCAAAATTCGAGAACTAGGGTTACGCAGGTGCTATGTTGCTTCATTTCTTGAGCCACGACCAATGGGTGTGTGTTTTTGAGGGTACCTTTTTCCAGAACTGTTTACAGAGAACCCAAAGCCAGGACCACCATGTTTGGAGCTTCCCCATATGTTGGCTTTCGTTTTGGTAAGCCTTTTGATGCCAAAGAGGGGCAACCTCAAAAAGGACGCCCCCCTCGAATCCCATGAGACTTTTCCTTTGCGATGGAGAAGGGCACTTCTGGTTTTCTCTTCTGGTGAGGGGATGTGGGAGTTCCTCCTGAGTCGTCCCAAACTGAGACCTCCACAATTGGGGTTCGCATTCAAAACCAATCAACAGGAGGTCCCCCAGAGAGCAAATGGCTTGGTTTAACCTTGAACGTTGGGGGCAGTAGTTGCCCACATGCCGGCTGGTGCTCCTGGAATATGACTCAAGGAAGCTTCCATTAGCTATGGCTTTCGTTTACAATTTAATGGGTAAGAGCGAGTGTGCCCCAGCCCTGTGCAGACGGTTTCAAAGACAAAGGCAAACCACCAAGGAGGTCCCCAATTTCATGGATGATCGACCTGGATGCACCCATCAGCACGTGCCAAAACCAGTTGTAGGAAAGTCTTCCAATTGGGCGTCCGTACGCCAAACCATGTTTCTTGCTGGCAGGGCGCCTGTAAAAGGTTAGTGGGGCATCCGTCCCTTCTGGGGGAAACCCCTATTGATCTGCCAGGTTGGTGAATCCAGGTCTACGGTAACAGGGAGGAACCAGGGGTTTGTCTCCAAATAGGGAAGCTCTTAAAACAGGCGGAGCCCCTTCGGCAAAGCAAGTCCAAACAGGTTTCTGAGAAGCAGGCCATTTCCATGACACAGAGAAGTGCTGGGACTCACTCACCCACCCGTCCTGGTGTTTTGGAGGTGCTGTCCATCACCGGGGAGGAGGGCCGGGGCAACAGCCCGCTGGAGCGCTTCTTCGCCGACGAGGGCCTTCCGGCGGCCCAGGCGGTGTGCTTCGCCTGCACCGACGCAGGCGCGGGCGCTTGGGGGCGCGTTGGGGGGGGGGGGGTTAGCGTTGGGTCGGCGAATCCAAATGCATGGGACGCTTCAAAACGAAGTCAGCATATCATGGATACTGGACCCAACAAAAACTGTTTTCCGGTTACTGGTGGTTGTCCCTTTCCGGGGCCCGTGCTTTTGATTCCCCCCCCCCCCCCAATTTCAGGACGTCCAATGGTAAGCCGCAAGGCAACATATTTGAAGGTCAACCGGCTATCCCGCAACTGGAAACTGGAGCCATGTGGCTGAAGAGGTAGCCCGCAGGGATCGGCCACCGAAAAGCATCCGTGGGTGTGCTCCCGTGAGGCGGGGGTGTGCAATGCACAATTCTCGGTGGTAAGGGGAGTAAACTGCTCACTTCGGGGTGCCACCATTTTCATCCGGGCACCCTGCCAAAAGAAAATGGAGGTTCACAAATCGCAAGGGGTACAAGCATCAGTTTGTTTGCCTTTCCGGAGGTCAACCGTTTGGTAGGTTGGCTTTGTTGAGCTCATGTTTGTCAAAAGTGGCCCCTTGCCAACAGGCCCTTCCCAGGCCCCACCTCCAAACTTGAGGCCACAAACTTTGGTCTGGAAAAGACGCAGGGCCGTTTGACCCTTCGTGGCTGGCCTGCGGAGCAATCGGCACGGGACCCCGGCAGGCTCCAAGGCCTTCGGCGCGGTGGACGCGGGCCTGGTGCTGGCGCCCTGCCACGACCAGGTGCGTCTGACCGCGGACGCCCGAAAGGCCCCCCCCCTTTTTGGGGAGAGCAAAGGGGACAAGGCTTGAAAATGACATCCTTCCTTTCCAGTGGTTTCCCGGGCTTCGTTTTTCGATTTGAAGATCGCCTCAGAGGCTTCAGGCCGCACGCGCTTTGGTTTGCGCGCCAGGTGTGGCGGCGCAGCGGGGAGCACGTGGAGCTGCCGGGCGCGGACTGCGCGCTGAGCCAAAGCCCCACGGCGCGGCAGCTGGCGTGGCTCCACGAGGTCTTCACCCAGAAGCTCTGGTGCTGCTGCATGCGCCTTGGGGTCACAGGGGGGGTGAAGGGGGGGAGATGGGGTGAAGGGGGTTGCTTCCGCTAAATCGAACCCTGAGGAAAGGAGATCGGGAAGACAACTTTCATGTTGAAGAGTACCTACCAGTGGGGTCCAAAAGGTTTTCTGGCCCCAGCGCATGAGGGGGGCAGTGATGCGTTCCCCCTGCGCAGACAGCTGCTGAAACCAACAAGCACGCATCCCTACTGCTGATAGAGTGGAAACCATGGCAACTCAAGTCAGCGGAGCACCCCTTCGCCACATGAAAGCTCTCTGAGTTTCACCAGGACCAAGGATGCCCAATACCTGACCGCCATTTGTCATGAATTGGGCTCCCCAGATCGGACTTCTCAAAAAGGTGAACCCCCTTTAGAATGCTTTTAAAGAGTAACCAACAGAAACAAGGAACCATTTTATGCCTCCCCGTACTTTGAGCAGCACCCGAGTTCGGGCACCTCTTTTCTTCTCCTTCATCCTGTCCAGGTCCTTGGGCTTTGGGCGCCCCTTTCCGGTCGACAGGTGGCTCGCGCCGGCGCATGGGGAGCTGCGCCACAGCACGGGTTTGCCCCCGGATGGGCCCAGCGGCTACGAGCGCGCCACCATCACCAGCGTGGCCAGCGGCACGCTGCAGGCGGCATGCCGCACGCCGCCACGCCGCGCGTTGGGTGCTCCTTGTTTGTTGGTTTGAAAAATAGGGGAAGTGCCATTTTGTCATGCCCAACTGGGGGTTGAGGAATGCTTTTTGGAAGTCGAAAGCCCAGCCGTTGAGAGACTGAAGGCCTGCCAAACTTCGATTCTTTTAGCACTTGTTGGGAAGTTGGCGGTGCCAAGGGCCTTTCGACCTCCCCTACCTGTAGGAAACCCAAACAATGCTAGTGGCAATCAAAACTACCTCCCCGGCTACAATTGCGAGGTTCAGAGATTCTGATCATCCCCCCAGAAATGGCCCCACTTAGGCCCTACCCTTGCGCCCTAGGACACCGGCCCCTTTGCTAGTCTTGCGGCAACCATGAATGAAACTTTCTGCTGCTGAGCAGGAAAATCGCGAGGGTTTTGGGATTGAACCTAGGGATCCCCTTGGAGGGAATAACAAGGGATGGCTGATGCGGGTTACTAGGGGGTCACCTTTTTTCTCTACGGCCGCACTTGCATACTCAAAATGGATAGGGTTGCACATCCAGGGTACACACTCCGATGAACAATCGGGTTTGCAAGTAGGACCTCGGACCTTCCCTTGGTCCAAAAAGTGAGACCTGAGCGAAGGCCACATCTCCGGGAACGATTCGTGAGATCATCCTTTAGAAAGGAGGGGTGAGTACGATTGGCCAGGATGCAACTGGCTCTTTGTCCGGCCCATTTCTATAGGGTTCGTCCCCAGACCTTTTCCCTTTTTTTGGTGAGAGCGCCGTTCGATCCAAGAAGTCACAAAAAGAAAAAGGGTTGAGACCTACACCAGACTCCACTGGGGAAGAAATCAAAATCATAGGGACGCGCCGCATGCAAGTTTGGGTGACGAACAATGGTTCAGTCAGGACGCTGTTCCCTTGCCACTCGCAAAGCCTTCGAGGCATTGGGGCATCCGCCCTGGGCGTCTAAGTGGGAGCAATGGGAGAATGAGGCGTGGAAAGCGAGCGAAAGCGTTGTGTCTCTGCTGGGCTTGTATGTTTGCTTGCTTGTTTGTTTGTTTGCTTGCTTGTTTGTTTGTTCGTTTGTTTTCTTGTTTGCTTGCTTGTTTGTTTGGTTTGTTTGTTTGTTTGCTTGCTTGCTTGCTTGTTTGGTTTGCTTGTGCGTCTGTCTGTTTGCTTGCTTGCTTGCTTGCTTGCTTGCTTGCTTGCTTGCTTGCTTGCTTGCTTTCTTGTTTTTTTTCTTGCCTGCTTGATTGTTTGTTTGCTTGTTTGTTTGTTTGTTTGCTTGCTTGTTTGTTTGTTTGCTTGCTTGTTTGTTTGGTTTGTTTGTTTGTTTGCTTGCTTGCTTGCTTGTTTGGTTTGCTTGTGCGTCTGTCTGTTTGCTTGCTTGCTTGCTTGCTTGCTTGCTTGCTTGCTTGCTTGCTTGCTTGCTTTCTTGTTTTTTTTCTTGCCTGCTTGATTGTTTGTTTGCTTGTTTGTTTGTTTGTTTGCTTGCTTGTTTGTTTGTTTGCTTGCTTGTTTGTTTGGTTTGTTTGTTTGTTTGCTTGCTTGCTTGCTTGTTTGGTTTGCTTGTGCGTCTGTCTGTTTGCTTGCTTGCTTGCTTGCTTGTTTGTTTGTTTGTTTGTTTGTTTGCTTGCTTGTTTGTTTGCTTGTTTCTTGTTCTTGCTTGCTCGCTTGTTTTTTTGCTTGCTTGCTTGCTTGCTTGATTGTTTGTTTGTTTGTTTGCTTGCTTGCTTGTTTGGTTTGTTTGTTTGTTTGCTTGCTTGCTTGCTTGTTTGGTTTGCTTGTGCGTCTGTCTGTTTGCTTGCTTGCTTGTTTGTTTGTTTGCTTGCTTGTTTGTTTGCTTGTTTCTTGTTCTTGCTTGCTCGCTTGTTTTTTTGCTTGCTTGCTTGCTTGTTTGTTTGCTTGCTTGTTTGTTTGTTAGTTTGTTCGTTTGTTTTCTTGTTTGTTTGTTTGTTTGCTTGCTTGTTTGTTTGGTTTGTTTGTTTGTTTGTTTGTTTACTTGCTTGCTTGCTTGTTTGGTTTGCTTGTGTGTCTGTTTGTTTGCTTGCTTGCTTGCTTGCTTGCTTTCTTGTTTGTTGGCTTGCTTGATTGTTTGTTTGCTTGCTTGTTTGTTTGCTTGCTTGCTTGTTTGTTTGCTTGCTTGCTTGCTTGTTTGTTTGTTAGTTTGCTTTTTTGCTTGGTTGCTTGTTTGTTTGTTTGTTTGTTTTTTTGCTTGCTTGCTTGCTTGCTTGTTTGTTTGGTTTGTTTGTTTGCTTGCTTGCTTGCTTGGTTTGTTTGGGTTGGTTTGTTTGTTTGTTTGTTTGTGTGTGTTTGTTCACTTGGCCAATCTTAATGGGGTTAGTATCAACTTATCTGGATTTCAAAGCAAGACAAACAATCGTGCTTATATTCCAGGCGTGACGAAACTCATCCTTTTGGATGGTGCTTCAAAGATCGTGGGGGGAAGCTTCACAACCCTGGCGGCTTGGTTTATCCTTCCGACCCGTTGTGAAGCATCAAGTTGTGATCTCAACGAGAGCTGTTGATATTCCCGGAGAAATGTTGGAAGGTAGTTTCGGGCAGAATGTCACATTACAACCGATCATTGGCTCTAGCATTTTTATTTCTTTTTAAAGATGCTATTGGAGAAGCACAGGTACCAAGCACGATTTCGAGTTAGAACCATCAAATGATAGTGACTGACCAATCTACCCAGTTATCTATCTACCTACCTATCTGGCGAGCTTTCTATCTATCTGTCTCTCATCTACCCATGTATCTATTGATATATTTTGGCTTTGTTCAATTGGCATGCAGAGCATGATGACGCCACATTTGCTCCGGCATGGACGTGTCCGCTTGTACGTGTGTGCGTGCGGGCGCGCGTGCTGGTGTACGTGTGCACGTACGGGTGTACGTACGGGCGTACGGGCGTGCGTGCGGGCGTACGTACGGGCGTTCGCGCAGATATGCGCGCAGGCATGCGTACGGGCGTCCAGGCGTACGTACATCCGTCCGTTTTCAAAATAAGACCTTATTGATCGGAAAAAAAAAAAACATTTTGTTTGGTCACGCGCGTGATCCGTTTGCCTACCCGCGTGTGTTTCCGTACACACGCACGCGCGTGCGTTTGTGCGTCCGCATGCATGTCCGTACGCGCGCGTACGCCGCCCGTGCGTCCGCGCGCATCTCCTTACACACGTCCGTACGCCGTCCGTGCTTCCCGTCCGCGCGGTCACCCGTACAGGTTTTGATGCATTGTATGAGCATGCGTATTAGGTCTAGCCAAGGTATATTTATTTATCTATCTATCAATATGTTTATTTATCCCATGTTTCTAGCTACCTCAAGTATCTTATCAATCTCGTTATCTATCCATTTGTTTTGGGTGTGGCCCGTGTCTTGGCTGCATTCTGTTTCCGGCCGTCTTGAACCCTGGCGGGGGAAGTGCCGGCCTGGCTGTGCTGACTTGCGCTGGCGACGAACCAACCAACCAATCAACCTATCTATCTAACTATCCATCTACCTAATCATATCTATCTAATCTGCTTAATCTATCTAATCTATCCCATCTATCCAATCTAATCTATCTACTCTATCTAACTTATTTATCTAATTTAGTCTATCTAATCTATCTAATCTATCTAATCTATCTAATCTACCAAGTCTACCTAGCTATATATCTATTTATCTATCCATCTATCTATTTATCTTGTTATCTTGTGCATCTTGTGTATCTTGTGTTTCTTGTCTACCTAATCTACCAAATCTATCTATCTATCTATCTATCTATCTATCTATCTATCTATCTATCTATCTATCTATCTATCTATCTATCTATCTATCTATCTATCTATGTATCTATTTGTCTGTCTGTCTGCCTGTTTGTCTGGCTATCTATTTCTCTTTTTATATACCTATCTATTCTATCCTATCTATCTATCTATCTGTCTGTCTGTCTGTCTGTCTATTTATCAATCTATCTATTTATCTATCTATGTATGTCTAATCTATCTATTTATCTATCTATCTATCTGTCTGTCTATCTATTAATCTTTTCTTTCTATCTTTCTATCTATATTTCTATCTATCTGGCTATCCATCTACGTACCTATTTGTCTAATCTATTCATCTATTATATTTATTACATTTATCTTTCTACCTATCTGTTTATCTATCTACTTATCTACATATCTAGCAAGCTAGCTAGCTCGCTATCTATCTAGCTTGTCTACTAACTTTCTCTATCTTGGTTTTCATCTACGAGTCTATCTCTCTTTGCTAATCTATCTGTCTACCTATCTATTTATCTACCTACCTACCTTCCGAAAGCACGGTGCCTGCGACAAAATCTTGCATCTATTCCCCCGCCCCCAATATCCCCGCGCACATGTTCAGATCCCAAAGCTGGTACTTTTGTTTGGTGTGTGTGTGTGTGTTCATGTTTTCTCTCGTGTATGTGGACGTTTGGTCAGACATCCAATTATGAGGTTCCCACAGCTGGTCTCCTTGAATGGTTTTGATTTTTTTGACATTTCCGGGATGTCTGACCCACATTCCAAAATTCCTCGGAATTTCCATGCAATCCACACTCACATGGACACATGTTTGGACCCACATGGCATGATTGTTTGATTGGGCTTTACATACCTTGATGGCACCCAAGCAAATCACCACATGGACAAGTGTGTGGGCCGAAGTGGCACAAATGGACTTTGTAGGTTTTCTTGTTTTGGATGTCTGACCGAACATCGCGCAATGCAACTCGATGAAGCCTGAATATCAAAAACATGTTCAGATCCTAGTAGTGCTTCCTGGTAGTTTCTTTTTGACATTGCGAATACCATCGTTGTTATTCGTTATCGTTATGATTGTTACTCATACTTTCGGGATTTCTCAGGTTCGTCGTTCTCCTGATCTCGTATGGGCGCTTGTATGCTCTGTTTTCCAGCTGTTGCCTTTGGAGATGTGGCAAAGCAAATGGTTATAACAAAATATCATGGTGGGTTGCATATGTATTCTTCAGGATGTAGAGAAGCGCAGTACTCGCAGCGAATTCTGACAGAAACGAAACAGATGTTGCAAGTTCGTCAATTGCTCAAGGTTTGGGTAAGGCCTAGCGAAATATGAGGTAACGAGTACCTGCTGATCTTGCTCTAAAAATGTAGCCGCCAGAGTCAACACCTGCTCGCAGGCAGCGGAGAAGGAGAAGGAGAAGGAGAAGGCCCACATCTTGAAGCCTCTTTGGGGCGGATTGGAGCCGAAGCAAAACCAAAGGGTCCGTTTCCATTGCGCGTTGCACGATTGTTTTCAGGGATGTAGAGAACGACAGTGCTCACAGCGCTGCTTTGAGGCACAACTACTCGGGGCGGGACATATCCCTGAGATTCTGACAGAAATGAAGCAGATGTTGCAAGTTCGCCAACTTCCCAAGGTTTGGGCAAGCCCATCCAGATTGAGGGTCGCTCACATCAGGCGAGCAAAACTGGATTATCTTTGTGTTTCTATGCTTCATTTCAATGGCTTCACCAGTTTTCTATGATAGCAATGATGACTTGGCAGCCATGAAAAATGGACCGGCTGATCAGCCATGTCAACCCTTGGAATCTGCCCGCGAAGAACCGAGCAGAGTTATCCGACCACAAGAAGACACGACGCATCCGGAATCCGGAAACTTGGCCTGCTAAATATTAGGCAACGAATACCTGCTGATCCTGCTCTAAAAATGTAGCCGCCAGAGTCAACACCTGCTCGCAGGCTGCGGAGAAGGAAAAGGAGAAGGAGAAGGCCCACATCTTGAAGCCTCTTTGGGGCGGGCTTCAGACGTAGCAAAACCAAAGGGTCTGTCTCACTTGTTTGTTGCATTGTTGTATTCATTGTGCACTGCACAATTGCCTGTCAGAGAGGGAAGCATAGCGCTCACAGTGCTGCTTTAGTCTTTCGCTCGGGAGGATTCGGGCGGCCATATCTGCCAGATTCTGACCTAAGTACAACAGATATTGCTCCAAACATGTGGAAGCCAGAGTTAGCAATTGCTCGCAGGCAGTGGAGAAGGAAAAGGAGAAGGAGAAGGCCCACATCTTGAAACTTGTTTGGGCGGACTTGAGCCAAAGCAAAACCAAAGAGTCTGTTTCACTTGTGTGTTTCATTGTCGCATTTGGTGTGCTTGTCTTGCGTCTTTGGTTGTTGTTTCCTCCGGCTTTCTGACCCAGGTGAAATGGAGGTCCAGGACACGTTTTTCTTAGCTCGGACTGGTGGGACAAAACGAGTGCCGGGAGGTCTACCCCTGCATGGCGCAGCTCGGTGAAGAGCTCTGCGCGTGCCCGGACTGGACGCCCCTGGAGCCCCGGTTCCGATCCAGGGGCAACCTGCAGGAGCTGGTGGACCTATCCAAGGTCGCCCGAGAGCGTAGCGTTTGCTTCAGATGCATTTCGTTTCATTGGTTTGGAATGTACATCGTCAGGGTTTTGAAGGGTGTGTTCAAGAGTATGTTCCTGGCGTTATTTGTCGTTGTTTTCTTCCCTATGTTCTCCGCTAGCTTGCGCTCCTGTTAACTTTGAATCTGAACGAGGACCCTGATCTGAAGAATCGGTCTCGGCTTTAGGGCATTGAGAATGTCAACTGCCGAGGAATCCGGAGGATTGAAGAGGTGGCAGTTTTTTCCGGCCAAAAAAGGAAAAACGCCGGAGTTGTGGCGAATCTGCTTGGTGTTTGGAGCTGCCAATGCCCGTTGTTGCGAGGTTGGACATGGGTATGGTCGATGAATCGGGAAAAGCCACGAGAAGAACGGTTTGACGTTTTGGTTCCCATGTCTTGCTGCCTTGACCCGTCGAAAATGCGGGAGATCGCTCCAAAGTCGGGCAGCCGAGCAGGTTGAAACCTACCACTTCCAGAGTGATAGTGGGAAGGTCAGTCACTATTTCTAGGTTTTGTTTTGGATGTATTTAGGTTTCCTTTTTGTCCATTTTAGCCAAGGTCCCAAAAGGTGATCGCAGTTTTATTGCCAGGTGGCAGGTAAGGCATCCAAATTTGTTCAGGTCCCAGTTGTTCTGTGGGTTCCACCCTTGTTACCTTCCTCATCAAAGTTGGAATCGACCTCCCAAACGTACTTCCTGCCAGGGTCACTCTCTAAATCCATCTTGTTGGTGGCTTCGGCAACTACTGAAGTTGGAATCAACCAGCCAAAAAATGGTTCTCAAATATTACCGGCTCACCGGTTGCCATCGGCAGGGGACATGTGTTTGTTTATATTCCTGAGGCAGACTTGAATCCAGGGGTTTATTTTTTTGAGGTACCCTTGTTGTTGCTGTTTTGAAGGGAGCCCAAAAAGGAACACCTCCATTTTTTTTCGGGGGATAAACTTCTTTTCTTTTCTTTTTTGGGGAGGAACAACACCATTTTCTGTTTGGGGGGGCCCTAAGGAAAGCCCCCATTTTGGGATTCTTCAGGTGGTGCTCTACTGCCACTCCCTGGATGTCGGCTTGGCCAAAGTCCATCACCTCATAGAGGCGAAGGACGACCGGGGCCACGTGGTGCGCGTCAGCAGAGCCGCGGCAAAAGCGAAAAGCTGGGGCGTGGTCTTTGAATCCGGGCCTCCAGTGGTCAGGGCCCCTCATTCTCCCCTTTTTTTGGTGGAGTTTATGCATCGCCTTTTGATGAATAATGTTGGCACTTGATTAATAAAGGCACTTGATTAATAAAGGCCCCCCCCCTGAACAATGGAGGCGCCAACATACTGGGGGCTCACTTTTGGGACGTCCAAACAATGGAGGATTTTGGGGCCCAATTCTACTTTAGTATTGCAGCCACTTCCTTTTTGTAATTCTACGTTAGTATTGCAACCACTTTTTCCTGAGCAGACTTTTTGGAATACTACTTTAGTATTGCAACCACTTCCCTTTCAGTTCTTTCTGTAGCCATTCAAAGGGGTGTGCCACCAATTGAAAGGGGATGCTTTTAAGCAAGTGGGCCACCAATTGAAAGGGGATGCTTTTAAGCAAGTGGGCCACCAATTAAAAGGGGAATGCTTTTGAGTAAAGCAACTTATGGTTTATTTTCTGGGAGGGGGGGCTGGGGGCTTGCAATTCATGTGGTCCCCTAAAAGGATGACATTATTGTGGTTCAGTGGGGTCTGTGAGGGGTACCCTTGATTGTTTGTTTTTTCTTTCTTTTTTTTGGGCATCTTTTTTTAAAACACGGTTTAATAAAGAGTTTGCAGTTTCAGGGCTGGGGATGGTTTTCAAATTTCAGAGGTTTCAGCTGGCTTTGGGTTCTGTGGTTGAGCAACCAATTGAAAGGGGAATGCTTTTATGGGCACCGCGGCTTCCCTACAATAATGTTGGCACTTGATTAATCAACCGGGCCGCAATAATGGCAAGTGTTTTTCCTTATTCTGGTTCGCACCCATTGTTTAGGGGGACCAGAATAATTGAAAGTTGTTTTGCCCGGGGGGGGACAATGGACCCACCTCACCGCCGGTTTTGCTGAGGATGCCGCCTTGTAACTTTATGAAGTAAAGCTAAGAGTGACAGCGCAATCGCGCCCTGATCGGGGCCCGACGGCACAATCGGGGCCCGATCGGGGCCCGACGTCACAATCGGATCGGGGCCCGACGGCGCAATCGGGGCCCGATCGGGGCCCGACGGCGCAATCGGGGCCCGAGCAGGGCCCGACGGCGCAATCGGGGCCCGAGCAGGGCCCGACGGCGCAAACGGGCCCCGACCGGGGCCCAATGGTCCCGAGGTGCAAGCGGGCTCTCACCAACCCCAGCCACCCATATGAAAGCTGAAGGCCGGCTTTCCTTAGGATGCGGCTGATTGGGCCCGACAGCGCAATGGGCCCGGCGAGGTTGGAACCCTTGTGGAGCTCAGCGTGAAACTTTGTTGGAACCTTTCCTCAGGGCTGCCCCATAGGTTTTGGAATTTTATTCCGTAGCCCTTGCAGCCTCGTGGAACCCTTGGAACCCAAAGCCCACCAAGTAATACTCAGTAATGCCAAGCATCTACTCTGCTACACAGTGAGTTTGCCACAAAGCCAGCGCGTTGCCTGAGCAAGTGAGCAAGTGACAAAACAGTGAAAGTGTGCTGAAAACCATTGATTTCGGTTTTGCTTAGTGTTCCGCCTATGAGCAAAGCGATCTTGTGAGCCCTCAATTTACTGCTCCGATGGCTTTTCAGACAGTGGGCGCACGACGCATTGCTTCCTTGCAGAGCATTTGTGGAACTTGTGGAGCGTTGTGGAGCCTTGCGACCCTTGTCGAATGTTTGCGGAACTGCTGCGAAACCCTTATCTCAGGGCCGGACCATCCCACCGCCCGTGGAACCCTGGAACCTTCATGGAACCCCCACAACCTTGCCAAACCTTACCTTGCAAAATCCGGTGGAAGCGTGGTTGACCCGCCCTTGCAGAACCTGGTGGAAGAATTACCAGGTAAAACCCTGGTGGAATTATCTCCTGGAACCTTACCTCAAACCACCCCGACCACCCCGCAGTCCTCGCAGAACGTGGTGGAACCCTGGTGGAACTCGTGGAACCTTACCTCAAACCACCCCGCACCCAGCAGACCTGGTGGAACCCTGGTGGAACCCCGCAGCCCTCGCAGAACCTAGTTGGAGAACCTTACCTCAAACCACCCCGGACCTAAACTTTGGTGCATTTTGCCAAGGATGTTAGGACTTTAACTTTGGCCAACTAATGGGTTGTCGATTAAACCACTAAAGGTTATAATTTTTTGGCAGGGGAGCAGAAAGCAACCGAGTAGAGGTGAAATATGCAGCCACAACTCCAGACGGGATGCGACGAAGAAAAAGTCGAGACCCCGCCAATCGTCAGTCTACTTTTATCATTCTCCTTACCAACCAAAAGTTCATGCATGATTCGTTTTGTATTTCTTGGTGCCCCCTTTGGTTTTTCTTTCCAAGAGGGGAAACGCAGAAGCGGAGCTCCCTTCGCCGCCTGCGATTTTTCACCCCGGAGCCGATTGGCCGCCCGGCTTAACCGAGGCAGCCGCTTGTGCAGCTTGTGCCGCGAGGGCATCGCCACGACGGAGATGTCTGTGACGTTGATGGCCTGCAGCCACCACGATCTCAAGGACGGCTGGGTTATATTCGGAGGGTAGGGAGGTCACAAAACCAGAAATTGGAGAGAGCGAGAGAGAGAGATCCGCACTCTTGATTCTTTTATGTATATATATATATATGTATACATATATATATATATATATATGGGTAGGCCACAAGGGTCCCGGGTTTTGAGAGTACGACCCGTCTGACCCCTCATGTGGCTTGCTGTCTAGAAATGGTCAATCCTGAAAGGGTTTCTAAAATTGGGGGTCGGGTGGGGGGACGAGGTAAATTTCCATCACAAGAGCCCCCTCCGGCGGAAGACTCAGATTTTCCCGTGTCCTGTCCGGGAGCGGAATATTCCAACGAGCTCGCCGGAATTCAGGTTGGTGCAAAACAGCCCGGCCCCCTTGTCAGCCATTTCCCCTTTTCAGCCGATCATAGGACTGGCCAACCACTTTGACAAGCCCAGGTCTCCCAACAGGTGCTTGCGCATTTCTTGGGTCTCACTTTGCTAGTTGCGGGTTCTTTTGCCCGGGCGCTGATGTGGGAATTTCTGGGATGTGAACTCTTGGATTCAAGAGGGTGCCGATCCGCGAGGAGTGGCCGGACATTTGCATCCGCTCCAGCCCGCCTCTCAGGCCCAGTCGGGCAGTCAGGCAGTCGGGCAGTCGGGCAGTCGGGCAGTGCAAGCGCGAGGCGCGAGGCCCGCGAGCTCAGCTGAGCCATGGGCATGTTGCAAGCGCAAGCTTTGGGCTGCCCAGTGGCAACCACTTTGACGGTATCCCTGACACCGGGTCTGAGAATGTAGGGAGCACTCCGCAGAATGTACTGCTTGCAGGGCCTTTGGGCAAGCTGAGAAATATGCCACCCGCCTCGACATTCGACATACATGCGCGGGCGCAATTTATCATTTTTCGGCCAAGGGAGCTGCGCAGCAAGGGCGGTTTCCGGGAAGTCAGGGCAAATGCTGATCATCCATAGCATTTTGGAGCCTGACCTGCCATTGGAATCTTGAAGGGGGCCTGAGCCATGAGATCCAGGAGGGGCCGCGCAAAGCACTCGCTGCAGACTTGTGGTTTCGGATTTTTTGGGCTTCTGGTTTTCGCAGCTTTTTGGGAAACCAATGGGCAGCCACTCATAAAGGGGGCCTTCCCGCCCACCGCTTTTGAGACACATGTGTTGAGTGAGGCCTGGATTGCCGCCACATGCCAAAGAACTTCTCCCTGTACGGCAAGCCCAAAGTGGAGGTCAGCGCGGGCAACGTGCGGCTCCAGGCTGCCTACCAGGACCGGCTTCTGCGGGTAGCCGGATGTAGTGGGTAGGTTTGGGCCTGCGAAGTGTCACCTAACAGGGCACAACGGTTCAAAGGTCTCGTCCTTTTTGGCTGGGCGCTGCCCTGTTTTCTTGATTGGGTTTCACCAAAGTGTGTTAGTGTTTTTGCTCCAGCGCAGGCGTGACAGACAGCCCATGACAGCCCAAAAGCCTTCAAGCCCTTTTGTCTACTTCTGTTCCGCGTTCCCTACAATCCTCTTCCGTTCTTGCAGGCGCGAATCTTTCTTGTGAGAGTGGGGCCTCTGGTTCTCTCCTAGTCCTTTAACTGCAGTGGCATCCTCACAATTATCCTCTATACTTGGTGGCTTGAAGGGAATCCACTTATAGTGACGGACAAACACTTAGAAACGCTTTTGGAAATTTTCTTTTGGCACCAGGTACTTTTTTCGTTTCTAAGTGCTGTCCCCAGCAGGTACCTTTCGTTTCTAAGTGTTGATCCGGACTGCTACAGCCCAATTCAACACTTAGAATTTCTTTTCAACACTTAGAAACGTTTTGCAGCACTAGCCCAACAGCTATATACGATCGTTCAGGTGTTTCACGCCTTGTTTGATGGCCCCACCTTGCTCACACACGTGCTGACATGTATGGAGGATTGGTCATGTATACACACAAACAAGTCCATGGGGGGGGGGTTGGGGGAGGCGTTTCTAAGTGTTCACCCCCAGCTGATGTCAAGCTTCCAGCAACCCCAAGATAACACCGATGCCCCCATGACGAAGGTCTATATCTATATATATATATATATTTATAAATATGCGTGTGTGGTTGTGTAAGTAGATCATGCCTTGCTCACACACGTGCTGACATGTATGGAGGATTGGTCATGAAAATATACAAGCAAGTCCAATTGGTAGACTGGGGGGTTGGGGGAGGCGTTTCTAAGTGTTCACCCCAAGCTGATTTCAAGCTTCCGGCAACCCCAAGAAAGCACCGATGCCCCCCAGGATGAAGGTCTATATACATATATAAATATGTGTGTGAGTTTGTGTAAGTAGATCACGCCTTGCTCACACACGTGCTGATGTATACACACAAACAAGTCCAATTGGTAGACTCTGGGGGGGGGGGGGGGTTGGGGGAGACGTTTCTAAGTGTTCACCCCCAGCTGATTTCAAGCTTCCGGCAACCCCAAGGAAGCACTGATGCCCTGAGGAGGAAGGTCTACATATATACATATACATAGAAATATATGTAAGTAGATCATGCCTTGCTCACACAGTGCTGACATGTAAGTGCCGGATTTCTGGGTCTTGAAGCGTGCATTTTGAGCCGTGAAACATGTCAAAGGATGCCCCAGGAACCACAAGAAGTGAATGTGCCACAACAAGGCCTTCTTGGCACTTTCCTGTTGTTCATTTCCGGAACGCGGGTGCCTCGAATGTGGGGCAGGGAAAAAGATGTCTTTTTGCCTAGGTCACATGGGTGTTTGTGTAAGTAGATCATGCCTTGCTCACACACGTGCTGACATGTATGGAGTATTGGTCATGTAAACACACAAACAAGTCCAATTGGTAGACTCTGAAGAGGGGGGGGGTTTGGGGCAGGTGTTTCTAAGTGTTCACCCCCAGCTGATTTCAAGCTTCCGGCAACCCCAACAAAGCACCGATGCCCCGAGGAGGAAGGTCTATATATATATATATGTGTGTGTTTGTGTAAGTAGATCATGCCTTGCTCACACAGTGGTGACATGTACGGAGGATTGGTCATGTATACACACAAACAAGTCCATGGGGGGGGGTTGGGGGAGGCGTTTCTAAGTGTTCACCCCCAGCTGATTTCAAGCTTCCGGCAACCCCAAGAAAGCACCGATGCCCCGAGGAGGAAGGTCTACATATATATATATATATTTATATGTAAGTAGATCATGCCTTGCTCACACAGTGCTGACATGTAAGTGCCGGATTTCTGGGTCTTGAAGCGTGCATTTTGAGCCGTGAAACATGTTAAAGGATGCCCCAGGAACGACAATAAGTGAATGTGCCACAACAAGGCCTTCTTGGCACTTTCCTGTTGTTCATTTCCGGAACGCGGGTGCCTCGAATTTGGGGCAGGGAAAAAGATGTCTTTTTGCCTAGGTCACACGGGTGTTTTTCTAAGTAGAGCATGCCTTGCTCACACAGTGCTGACATGTAGGGAGGATTGGTCATGTATACACACACAAACAAGTCCAATTGGTAGACTCTGGGGAGGGGTTGGGGGAGGCGTTTCTAAGTGTTAAGCTTCCGGGAACCCCAAGAAAGCACCAATGCTCCCAGGATGAAGGTCTATAAATAGACATACATATATAAATTTATATGTGTGTGTTTGTGTAAGTAGATCATGCCTTGCTCACACACGTGCTGACATGTATGGAGTATTGGTCACGTATACACACAAACAAGTCCAACTGGTAGACTGTGGGGAGGGGGGGGTTGGGGGAGGCGTTTCTAAGTGTTCACCCCCAGCTGATGTCAAGCTTCCGGCAACCCCAACAAAGCACCGATGCCCCGAGGAGAAAGGTCTATATATACAAATATGTGTGTGTGTGTAAGTAGATCATGCCTTGCTCACACAGTGCTGACATGTAGGGAGGATTGATCATGTATACACACAAACAAGTCCAATTGGTAGAGACTGGGGCGGGGGGGGGGGGGGTTTCTAAGTGTTCGCCCCCAGCTGATTTCAAGCTTCCGGCAACCCCAAGAAAGCACCGATGCCCCGAGGATGAGTGTTTGTGTAAGTAGACTTGTTACACACAAAGTGCAATTGGTAGACTCTGGGGGGGGGGTTTGGGGGAGGCGTTTCTAAGTGTTCACCCCAAGCTGTTTTCAAGCTTCCGGCAACCCTAAGAAAGTATCGATGCTCTGAGGAGGAAGGTCTATACAAATTTGTGTGTGTAAGTAGATCATTCCTTGCTCACACACTGCTGACATGTAGGAAGGATTGATCATGTATACACACAAACAAGTCCAATTGGTAGACTCTGGGGGAGGCGTCTCTAAGTGTTCACCCCCAGCTGATTTCAAGCTTCCGACAACCCCAAGAAAGCACCGATGCCCCCAGGATGTGTATATATATATATATAAATGTGTGTGTGTGTGTGGGTTTGTGTGGGTGTGTGTGGGTGTGTGTGTGTGTGGGTGTGTGTGTGTGGGTGTGTATGTGTGTGTGGGTGTGTGTGGGTGTGTGTGGGTGTGTGGGTGTATTTGTGGGTGTGGGTGTGGGTGTGGGTGTGGGTGTGGGTGTGGGAGTGTGTGTGTGTTTAGGTAAGTAGATCATGCCTTGCTCACACAGTGGTGACATGTATGGAGTATTTGTCATGTATACAAACAAACAAGTCCAATTGGTAGACTCTGTTGGGGAAGGCGTTTCTAAGTGTTCACCGCCCAGCTGATTTCAAGCTTCCAAGCTTCCGGCACCCATAAAGAAAACACCGATGCCCCCGAGGACGAAGGTCTATATATACAAAAATATATACATATGTGTGTGTAAGTAGATCATGCCTTGCTCACACAGGTGCTGACCTACATGGAGTATTGGTCATGTAATATACACACACATACAAGCCCAATGGGGAGTGTTTCTAAGTGTTCACCGCCCAGCTGATTTCAGGCTTCCGGCAACCCCAGAAAACACCGATGCGCCGAGGATGAAGATATATATATAATTGTATACATATGTGTGTGTCTAAGTAGATCATGCCTTGCTCACATTGGTGCTGACCAACATGGAGTATTGGTCATGTATACACACAAACAAGTCCAATTGGTAGACTCTGGCAAGGGTTGGGCGAGGCGTTTCTTTGTATTCACCCCCCAGCTGATTTCAAGCTTCCGACAACCCCAAGAAAGCACCAATGCCCCCAGCATTTATATATATATATATATAAATGTGTGTGTTTGTGCAAGTAGATCATGCCTTGCTCAGACAGTGCTGACATGTATGGAGTATTGGTCACGTATACACACAAACAAGTCCAACTGGTAGACTGTGGGGGGTGGGGGGGGGGGGTTGGGGGAGGCGTTTCTAAGTGTTCACCCCCAGCTGATTTCAAGCTTCCGGCAACCCCAGGAAACCATTTCATTAACCTTATGATTTGTTTCATGATTGTCCATGGTGTCGCGCAGTTTTTTCTTGTTTTTTCCTGCTGAAACAAGGAAGTGATGAACACATGATGAAAAACAGATGATGTTCATGGGAAGTTCTGAAAACCAAAAAATGCAAGCAATTCATCATTTGTTTATCATTGTTCATTGTTTCATCATTCTCAGAATGTGCTCATCTTGGTTCATCATTGTTTCCTCATCTCGTCATTTGTTTGTCCTTTTTTAGTCAAAAACGTTGTTTTTTCGTGATTTGTAGGTTGTCTTTTGTCTGGCTGCCCGAAGATCTCTTAAGTCTATCATGTGTGCTGTGTGCCTGATTCATTGTGTATATATATATATATCTAGTTCCGCTGTTTTTCTTGCATGGTCGACTCTTTTCTCTTTCGGGGCAACGCCCGTGACCAATGCTTAGAAGCCGCAGGTACCTCTCGGGCAACACTTAGAAACGTTTCTAAGTGTTTGACGGCTGGTAATATGCATCAGAATCGCCATAAAGGCGAAAAAAAACATTTCTAAGTGTTGATCGGCCGAACCGTTTCTAAGTGTTGAATTTACTGTTTTTCTTTTTTTCGTTTCTAAGTGTTTGTCGGAAATTTTGGAAACCAAAACTGTTTCTAAGTGTTTGTCCGGCACTATACAAGTAAAATTGGGAACCTCACAAGATGCGCCATGAGGCGCCCCGGTTTCTCGCTGCAGGATGAGCAGGGCCAGATCTTGCTGGTCCGCGCCTGGCACCGGGTCTGCAAAGACGACGGCCGGGGGGACGTGGAGCTGAGCGTCAGCTGCGACACAGGCGGGGCACGGTGGGTCCAATCGAGTGAGCATGTCGAGGGGGTGTCAAACTTGCTGGGGGGAAGTGCTTCCCTATAGGCCACAATGGCCAGAGGTCAAGAGGGACATTTTGAGGATCCTTGGGGCTGGGGGTGGGGGCTTGGGCGGTGTGGCCTTTGACGAACCTTTTTGGTGTGCGCCCTCTTTTCAAGAATCATGGCAGCGGATTCAGCGGATGAGCGTTCCTCAGTGAAGTGGTCTTCGAAAACCCTCTTGTCAGCTTTCATTGGATTTTCAGAAGCGGGTCGTCAATGAAACTTCCAACCTTCTTCAAGAGCTTCTGTTCCACTCAATTTTCGAACTGCTTCCGGGAACCCATAGGGATCGAAAGGGGTCCCTGTCCAAGTCTGCAATGAAGGTGGCCAGGGCTTGATGATGGGGCTGTTGTTGTTCGGTTTTTGCAAGGCTGGGATGCTTTCCAGGGGCTGGCAACGAAACGTGCGAGCAGCGTTGTGTTTTGGAGGCTCAGGCAAAAGCATGTCTGTTGGACACGCTCGGCGTATTTGGGCCTTTGCTGCCATTTGCGGTTGTGGGGGTATCTCCTCATGTTGAAATGAGCCTGGATGGGCTTGTTTGCTAGTTTGGTTCACGTTATCATGTAGCTGTGGCTTTTTGGGCCCACCCATGAAGCATGTGTCCCCGCATGCTATGAGTAAGTGAAGGGAGTAGTCTACAGTAATCCTTGCCAATCTTGCTCTTGTTCTCCCCCTCCCCCTCACGGCCAGCGTTGAGGTGTGTCGCCCGTCCACGCGATGAAGGCAGACGCCTCAGCTTGTCTCGGAGCGAACTGCTCCCTCAAGGAGTTTGTGTACATCCAGGTATAGATGGAAATTCATAGTCAAGTGCGTATGCCCATACATCATGATGCGCATCAAGCTTTCAAAGAGCCTTACCAGAGTGCCAAGCTTGGAAGCCATGTGTGGGCGAAGATGCGGTGGCCTGAACCGGACGTATCTGCGCATTTCTGTGGCTGAAATATAGGAGTAACCCATTTTGCCCGAGTGGGCTCCCTTGATCACGAAATTGCTGCGCTGGGAATCAAGCAGTGAAAGGATCAAGCAGTGAAAGGATCAAGCAGTGAAAGGATCAAGCAGTGAAAGGATCAAGCAGTGACAGGGTCCACGGCTTTTTTCCTATAGACACTTTCCTGGCTTCATGTTGCTGAGTTCGGCTGCTTGCGATCTTGCAGGCATCGGGCTTATGCGCGTGAATCGGTACTTTTTGAAAGGGAGTGGCCCACGGCCCTTGGAACCAAAGTACTTCTTTGGCTTTGCGGCAAGTCCGGCCGGCTGTGACAAACAAACTGCGCTTCTCCTGCCACTCTGTCAAAAAGGTTCTCTTCACAGGTGTCCCTGTTCTCTGGGCTTCCTGCATGTAAGGCATACAGTGCAACCAGTAGCATTGGATGCCTGGGGTGCACACGTCTACAGTGCGTGTGAAAACTTGCAATCGCCCCCTCCAGGAGGTTGGAACCTTAATTTTCCATCGCCGATGTCCGAGAAACGCTTTCCATGGCCTGAGTTTGCAAGGAAAGGCTTCCAGAGAGAAATCAGCGCGGTGAAACGGATGCAAAGTGCATTTCCTAGCTCCCCTAGGGCCCTTCGCCCTTCGGCCTCCAAACGGCACGAGGCCAGCAAGTACTGGGGAAAGCTGCGGAATGATTCCTGCGAGGCGCACGGGGAGCGGTCGAAAAGCCAAATCGTATGTGGGACTCCATTTTGCGGCTCTTGAGGCTTCGCGCTTGCGACCTGAAGCAACTCAGTTGGACATCACTTCCTGGCACATCTGAAGCTTGTTGAAGCTTGTCTTCCAGTTGCTGCTTCCACTAGGTTTCCTATTGATCGAAGGTTCGACGTGCAAGACACTTGAGAGGTCGGAGCCGCCGCTGCGCAACATTGAAAGGAAAGGTTTCCCACAGGTCGGTAATTAGCTGCTTCGGCAGTCAGACCTTGAGATACTGGAAAGAGAGAGAAAGAGAGAGAGAGAGAGAGAGAGAGAGAGAGAGAGAGAGACAGAGAGAGAGAGAGAGAGAGAGAGAGAGAGAGAGAGAGAGAGAGAGAGAGAGAGAGAGAGAGAGAGAAGAGAGAGAGAGGGAGGGAGGGGGAGGGGAGGGGAGGGGAGGGGGAAGGGAAGGGAAGGGAAGGGGAGGGGAAGGGGAGGGGAGGGGAGGGGAGGAAGGGAGGCGGGATGGAAGGGAAGGGAGGGAGGGAGGGGGATGGAAGGGAAGGGAGGGAGGGAGGGGGAGAGGGAGGGGAGGGGAGGGGAGAGGGGAGGGGAGAGGGGAGGGGAGGGGGAGGGGGAGGGGGGGGGGAGGGGAGAGGAGGAGGGGAGAGGGGGGAGCTCTTGAACGTTTGAAGGGCGCGTAAACCACGTCTTGGAGCAGCCGCACTGTTTTACATACACAAACTGTGTAGGTCCTTGTCTTCCAGCTTTCTTGCTGAAGCTTAGTTGGGCCTGCCAACCAGAAGCAACGCTTGCTGACAACGCATCAGGTTTTCAGAAAAGATTGACCCTAGATTACTAAACCTTGCGGATGGATGAGTTGGGGTTGTCGCCAAAGTGATCCGAATTCTGTCTTAAGTGGCACTCAGATCTACGAAAACATCAACCAAGAGCGTATGAATTATGGGTTCCCATGTAAGGGTTCGTCCGTGGCATGTGTTACTGGATGTTTCTGAAATTTTGCCCGCTGCCTGTCAGAAGCAGTTGGCAGCGATTGTTGCTCAGATGGTGGCAGAAGAAAGCCAATTGGCATTGTTTTCTTGCATAGCGTGAATGACGACGTCAGGAAATCATTCTTGTGAACATGTTGCTTGGATAAGTGTGGGATACCTGCACATAGAATCTTGCGCAGGTGACGCAAAGGGGGGGAACTCCAACCTTGTCCAGATTTCAAGCATACGGTCGATACGCGCGCGAGGTGGACATCATTTTCACCAACCCTCGACGAGGAACGCGCTATACTGTTGAGAAGGCCCCGCGCTACGCCTTCGATCCCCTTGTTCGGTGGCATCCTTTCCCTTTCATGTGGTGGTGATTTCTCGGCCAATGAACCATTTTGAGAATGTGCCTCTTGTTCTACCAGGTTCACTGGGCCACTGGCTCAGGGAACGGATCATTTTTCAGCATTTGTAGGATGTTGAGCTGAATTGTGAACAGATGATTGTCGCGTATTGGGTTCGGCCGAGGCTGTCTGACCTTGGCATAGTTTCTGGAGCTTGCAGTGGCTGACTTGGTAAGGCGTTATGAATCCATGAGCGGCTTGTTCGTTCCTCACGCACCATAGAGCATGCCTTTGCATGCCCACTTCAAAAGTCTCTTGCGAGAGTGAGGGCCGGCTCAGCATGCCAGGCCTCGGCCTGTGAAGTGTGAGAGGGCGACCAAATGCCCAGCTCCGTGAAGAGTTTTGATCAGGACTTAGTAGCTTCTGGTAGGTCCGGAGGACCTGCCGCCCTGGGCGGCCTTCTAACTACGAGATGGTACACCTCCCTCGAATAGTATGGTCCGCGGATTCACCCAGATTCCATGAACATGTAACATGCTGTAACTCCTGCTCTCTTCTTATAGATCATTCTTTTCAGACAGCACTCCAGTTCCCTCCACCCTGGATCTGGGGCTTTCCTTTTGACCCACTGGTTCGAAAATAACAGGCGCCTTGCAAGACAGAGGTGCCTGTACTTTTTGGAGTCCCGATCTCTTCAACCTGTGGAAGAAAACGCCCGAGGTGGTGTCCGTCATTGCCAACAGCGGCCGGCGCGGGGCCCGGCGTTTTGGGGGGGTTTCGGATCTGGGAGCGTGGAGTTTTGATGCTTCCTCACCTGGGCGCCATAAAACGGGTTTTGGGCGCTGCTCGGCTTTGAGCTTCGTCACCCTTAGTTTTTCCAAGTGGTTCCGTTTTTCCTAGGTAGTCTTTTCTTTAGATCCTCCCAGACAAACGTCCCGGCGGCTGTTTCGTTGAAGGCGATGCTGCGGATGGTTGGAAATGGGAACGGTCGCTGGTCACACCCGCCAGTTCAGGGCACGTTTGGATGGTCATCAACCATTTAATGGGCAGGGCTGCTCAATCCTGGGTGCTCAATACCCCTTCCTCTGTTGTACTGGCAAGCGCTTCATTTGGGCTGGCGTGGCCTTCGTTGTGTTTGAATATGCGAAGGGCCTCTAAGCCCCTTTACCTTTGCAGTCTCACTTGCCGCTTTTGGGGTGGTCGGGGTCATGCTAAGCTTGGGCAACCATGTGAGAAACGAACCGTATTGCAATTGCAAATGTATTGTTTTGAGTGTGCCCCTGGCGTCATGTCGCGTAGTCATGTGGACGCATTCGCCGCCGCCCATTTCTGGCCCTGAACTCGGATGCCCAGCACGGGGTCATGGTGCAGCCAGCCATGCCCAGCACGATGCTCAGCGGGAGAAAACCGGATTTGCTTTCCCGCAAATTGACATGGAACCGACAAATCGTGGTCCCCCAAAGTCTGGAACTGCAGCTTTTTGGGGTTACTGTTAATCAGAGGAGTGGGCCATTTAGGAGGGGTCCTAGAGATAAGCGCCGCAGGGGCCTTGCATAGACAAGGCATGGCGGCATGATCCAATCACTTTTTGGATTGACTTCCGTTTGGATTCATGCTGCGCGTCATGCTGGGACAGCACTGATTTTGCGCCTGCAAGGAGTTTCTCGTTCTCGTCCGCGCCCAGGTTTCTTAGTCGTCCGTTGACCTTCAGGACTACATATACATTAGGATCAGGCCGGGCCTTGCCAAATTGCACGCCGAAGGACTTGACTTTAGCTCGGAATCCTCATCATTTGATACTTCGGTCCCCAGGCAGATGAAACCAAGGATGTTAGGCGACAGCGCGCCGCACAGCTGGGCTGCAGGGAGTATGACACAAATCTTGGCTCTTGACTCCAAATTGGCAAAACACGTTGCGGGAGGATTGAGTTCATCAACATCCTGCCACGCAAAAAGTCCAGCCACCATGGCCAACTGAGCACATGCAGCAATTGGGATAAATCGTTTCGCAATCGAGCTCACCCTTTCAGATTACACAACCAAATGAAAGATGCCGTTACAACACAACACCCACACCAACTCAAAACGCAAGCGAGCCACAAACCATTTCGCTCAGGAGGCGTCCACGTGGTTTTTCCGGCCGCGGGGGTGTGGGTCTTGGGACTCATGCCCTGGAGGACGGGTGGCCGGGGTGATGTCGGGTCGACAGATGCCATGGCTCAACGGAGGTGTCCGCCAAATTGGAAAGGGCGGAGTCCCCTTCCCCAAAAGTCTCGCCGGTTTTTCGAATGGGCATGTGAAGTAGGATGGCACGCTCCGGACTCTAGGAAGCCATTTGGAGGGTCCTAGGCCTGAACGTTCAAAGACTATCCAGTCTAGAAGTTGTCAACCTGCTGCACTTGAACCAACCGCGCGCTCGCACAGACTTTTACCTTGAATTTGATGTGTTCCACGCCTTTCGGCTTGATGCACTCCATGCAGAGATGCTCCGCATGAATATGTTTGCCCCCTGAAGACGCATTGCTGGGAGGCGTGCAGGTTGCCTGTTGCTGGTTTGGCATCGCCGTGCTTTTGCCCTACGAATTGCACATCTTTCAGTCAACGGTTCCTGTGTGGCTTGCCACTTCATGGATCGCACAGGGCGGGTGCCTCCGCGATGTCCACCCGTAAAGGTTAACAGGCCGTAGATTTGCATCGTGAGCCCTGGAAATTGTTGCATCTTTGCGTTTGACAAACCCAATGGTTCAGTGGATTTCAGTGGATTTCACTTTCTCTTTGTTTGATGTGTCCCCTGCTCAACCCAAAGACGATTCTTTGTCCAACCGGTGAATGGGCAACTGGGCAACCCCCGGCAAAGTTGCACTGATCTTGGCATCTTTGGTTGTTTGGCTTTGTTTGGGTGAGTGCCGCGAGAAATCCCCAAAAACGATTCTCTCATTGGAAAGTTCAGTGGCATGCCTCCCGAGGCATGTCCTGCCGCTAAATGAACCGGGGAGAGAGGCCCAAACAAAAGAGGCCCGGAGTCAAGCTTCATGTTAGAAGGTCAGCATGAAGCCAACCTGTCATGGGACTCTTCAAGTGCCTCCAAACACTTTTTTCGTTAGCCTCTCATGAGCGTAACGAGTACCAGGCTCAGAAAAAAGCAGCCCAGGACAGCCTTCTACTTGGCCCTTGCGCAGCTTCTGAGCTTCGGAGATGCCTGGAGGGACACCTACCCCTTGGAGGACCACGAGGGCACCTCGGCTCAGCCACACGAAAGCAGCGCCGCACACCACGTTGTCGCACGCATTCGGGACATGGGATGCGTTGCAGCAATGCCCACGCCGCAGTGCCAGCCCCTGGGCATGATTTTGATCCCAGGTCCCACTTTCATGATTTTTTACATGCTCATTGCAATCGGAGACTCTGATATTCTTACATCCCCTTTTCCTGGGCCTCCAGGAGACTCGGAGACGACAGCCTGCTGCTAGACACCTGGGTTTGTCCCTAAATAGGGACCCCCCCCATACTGGGTTTTCTGTTGAGGAGCCGTCAACAAAGGGTGCTAAGAGAGAAAGACACCGCGGATCCAAACAGCAGTCAGAGCGGCTCTGTGCTGTGTCTTTGACCGCTGGCTTTGGCAAGGGAACTATGGGTCAACAACCATCACCAACTGCAAATGGTCTAAGGCTCTTTACTTGTGTTTTGCCCGATGCCATAACTTTGTGGACAACTGCCAGAAACAACAAGCAGCTGACAGTCGGATGCGTTGAACGCTGTGTAAATATGTGTCATGTTGCAAGTGGTCGATGGGGAGCCTCGAGCCTCCCGTGCTTACCCCGTTTACGATTTAAATGTTACATTTTCTCTGACCATGCCTTGTGACTGTTCATGGGGCCCCGAGCGGCACATGAGAAGCGATCACACTTGTGACAGGCCCAACCGTCCTTTTGATCCTTTACCGGTGGATAAACTCCAACTTCAGTCCAGGCTTTGATCGGATTCGAAGAGCGAGCTGCGAAGCCAAGGGATGCCCGAAGTGCCGGAAAGATCAGCGCCTCGATGGGATGGGGCCCAGGCAACCCTGGCGGGGCAGGGAGGTGCCATGGTAGACCTCCTATTTCGCATTGAGGTGCAACATGAGAAGCCGGAAGCCCCAAGTGCACTTCAGTGGCGCAATCCGAAAGATTGACAGCACCCCCACCCAAAACACCAACACTGTTGTTCGGCTTGTCGGAGGCCCACCCCTTGAGCTATTTGCATGTGTCCCAAGGTTTTTCCCGGAAGCATTGCGAAGGGTTCTTCTTCTAAAAGCGGCTGCCAACTTCACCTGCCAACTTCTCATGCCAACTTGTCGAGAGTTACTTCACCTGCCAACTTCTCATGCCAACTTGTCGAGAGTTACTTCACCTGCCAACTTCTCATGCCAACTTGTCGAGAGTTACTTCACCTGCCTACTTCTCATGTCAACTTTTTGAGAGTTACTTCACCTGCCAACTTCTCATGTCAACTTTTCGGCTGTTATCTCATTCTACTAAAAGCACAAGCTAATTTGTCGGGTGTTACTTCACTATCCTAAAAACACAAGCTAACTTTTCTGTTCTACCTTCACATCTCGACTCTTAATTCTTCTTCTTTTTATGGCGGGGGTAGGCCCGACGGGAGCTTACGAAACGCACCCCTCTGCGGAGATCGTGCGTGTCGAAGCGCTCTCGCTGTGGCGCCGTGCGAATTTGTCTTGACCGGCGAACCCTCTGCGGAGATCGTGCGTGTCGAAGCGCTCTCGCTGTGGCGCCGTGCGAATTTGTCTTGACGCGGCGAACCCTCTGCGGAGATCGTGCGTGTCGAAGCGCTCTCGCTGTGGCGCCGTGCGAATTTGTCTTGACCTTGGCGAACCCTCTGCGGAGATCGTGCGTGTCGAAGCGCTCTCGCTGTGGCGCCGTGCGAATTTGTCTTGACCTTGGCGAACCCTCTGCGGAGATCGTGCGTGTCGAAGCGCTCTCGCTGTGGCGCCGTGCGAATTTGTCTTGACCTTGGCGAACCCTCTGCGGAGATCGTGCGTGTCGAAGCGCTCTCGCTGTGGCGCCGTGCGAATTTGTCTTGACCTTGGCGAACCCTCTGCGGAGATCGTGCGTGTCGAAGCGCTCTCGCTGTGGCGCCGTGCGAATTTGTCTTGAGCCCGATGAACCCTCTGCGGAGATCGTGCGTGTCGAAGCGCTCTCGCTGTGGCGCCGTGCGATTTTCTTGCTCGCGAAACGGCTTTTGGAAGTTGTCTCGTGGTGTGCGCGCCTGCTTTCGCAATCCCGCGGTCCCGGGTTCGATTCCCCCCTGGTCCGCGGCAGCTCCGGCTTGAAAATCGCAGCTTTTAAGTACAAACGTAGTACGCGGAGCGTGCTCCTGCAGCTCCGGCTGGAAAATCGCAACTTTTAAGTACAGACGTAGTACGCGGAGGCTGCTGCAGCTCCGGCTGGAAAATCGCACTTTTTAAGTACAGACGTAGTACGCGGAGCGTGCTCCCGCAGCTCCGGCTGGAAAATCGCAACTTTTAGATACAAATGGCTGGAAAATCGCAACTGTAAATTGCAAATGTAGCACGCGGAGCGCCTCCGCCGCTCCAGCTTTTTGAGGGTTAATTACTTCACCTGCCAGTTTCTCATGCCGAAACTTCGAGAATTACTTCACCTGCCAGCTTCTCATGCCACCTTTTCGAGAGTTACTTCACCTGCCAACTTCTCGTGCCAACTTTTCGAGGAGTTACTTCACCTGCGAGCTTATCATGCCAACTTTTCGAGAGTTACTACACCTGCGAGCTTCTCATGCCAACTTTTCGAGAATTACTTTACCTGCCAACTTCTCATGCCAACTTTTCGAGAAATACTTTACCTGCCAACCTCTCGTGGCAACTTCACCTGCCAACTTTTCGAGAATTACTTCACCTGCCAACTTCTCATGCCAACTTTTCGAGAAATACTTTATCTGCCAACCTCTCGTGGCAACTTTTCGAAAAATTACTTCACCTGCCAGCTTCTCATGCCAACTTTTCGAGAGGTACTTCACCTGCCAACATCGCCTGCCAACTTTTCGAGAGTTACTTCGCCTGCCAACTTCTCGCGCCAACTTTTCGAGAATTACTTCGCCTGCCAACTTCTCATGCTAACTTTTCGAAAGTTACTTCACCTGCCGGCTTCTCACGCCAACTTTTCGAGAGTTACTTCACGCGCCATCTTCTCGTGCCAACTTTTCGAGACTTACTTCACCTGCCAGCTTCTCACGCCAACTTTTCGAGAGTTACTTCACCTGCCAACTTCTCATGCCAACTCTTTGAGAGTTATTTCACCTGCCAACTTCTCATGCCAACTTTTCTCTTGAGTTACTTCGCCTGCCAACTTCTCATGTCAACTTTGCGAGAATTACTTCACCCGCCAACTTTGCCAGCCAACTATTCGAGAGTTACTTAACCTGCCAGCTTCTCATGCCAACTTTTTGAGAATTGCTTCGCCTGCCAACTCCTCATGCTAACTTGGCGAGAGTTACCTCACCTGCATCAACTTGCCTCTATGCTTCCGGGCCACTCGTCGTCTAGTTTTCCAACCAAGAGGGAATGGCACATGTTAATTTGTCCAAGCACCCCCCCGGCACTCCAGCACACTCCACTTGGCTCCTTTGCACTGTGTGTGCTTTAGGGATTAGCAGCTGGGAAGAATGAGGAGGGTAGAATTCAGGCAATGCGCTGCATACGAAAGGTCCTCCAAGAGTAGCATGAGTGCGCTGAAGCGACCCCTGATTGACCAGCTTAGCTAAGTGACCGTCTTGGGCGTGGGGTTCCTCGCCGCATGTGCACATTGCTACTGAAATTGCTGTGCTGAGCTCTTAAAAAGTGTAGGGAGGAGGTTCCGTGGAAGCATCCAATTGTGCAGCCTCGGGCTTTTGTTGGCCTTCAGGGGACCTTCGGACATTTCTGTCCTACCAAAAAAGCCCGAGCCCTGACTTGTTCAGGGTTTTGAGGCTTCGAAAAAGGGAGCTCGAAGACCACAATTTTCAGGGGCGAAGCGCATCTATGGAGCCTAAGGTGTTCATTTTTGTATCCTTTTCCGTCACTAACATGGTCAGCCCCAAACACGGTTCCCTTTTCTGTCGAGACGGGGCGGAATTGGGTTCAAATGGGTCCGAGCTGAAACCCCCCCGCCTCAGGATAGGAACCCTTCGGAGAAAGGCGCCTCTGTGCTCGAGCTGCGCGAGGACCACTCTCGACTGCAACATTCAATTGGGTGTGCCTGTTTTGGAGGGTGCCATTTTTACATGTTTTTACAGGGAAGCGAAAAGGACAACCACCATGTTTGGGGCACCTCCAAATAGAAGGTCTTTGCCTAGGGGTCAAATTCGAGGATCCTTCTGAGCGGTGGACGTGGGCGCAGTTTTTGTTGGGAGCGCATGTGTTGTGTTGATGCGCGTGTGGTTCAAAAATATGTCTTTGGTTGCCAAGCGATTATTGAGCTTATTTTGTGCGGGGTGTTATGTTGAGCTTCTTAGCTTGGGATTTTACGAGGAACCCTGTTTTCCTTTGGAAGGACCACATATGTTCACCCACCTTCCGCTTGTTTCCGGCGGGGACAATCAGCATTTGCACCTGGCTGTCAGGAGCGCGCCGAGACCCGCGCTCA